TGTGTCAAGGAAGAAACCATTGTATTTCATTGTATTTCCTTATTCTATGAATAAATAGTGTCAAAGTTTCTTCCAGCTTTTCATTGTCTGTAATCCTGTTGTCTTGACAAGAAGTGATGAAAAATATCAACTCAGCTGGAAACACAGCAAAGAAAATAAAAAAATAAATAAATTGTATACTGTAGTGGGAAAGGGTTAGATCTACTGATAGATAGTTGTGTTTAGTATGTGAAAAGGGTGCATTCAAACTCTATACAATATCTAAATAAAACTATGATGTTCTAATAAATGCATTGAACATACCAATGCTCAGGTTAAGCCGTCTTTTCAGCATAATATTATATGATAAACTATTTCGGTGGCAACACAATGTGGTTTATTCCAGACTCAAAGTATATGTAAAAAAAACCTTTATACTGTATCTATTTTTAGTATACAATGAAACTTAAACTTAGCGTTAACTGCTGTAAATTTGGAAGAACAATATCAAAAGACATCCCATGCACACGTGTGAACAGACACATCCGGGACACAGGAAAACACATTAGTGCCCACATGGCAAATCTATTGGCAGTTGCTCTCAAATATTATTCTGTTTGTTTTGGAAATCTCTGGCAGACACATCTAGAAAGTGAATTTCAGTACAGTAGATAGAAAACACATTTATATATGTGTCAAAATTTGTATTCCATTTATTTTACTGGAGTTTCTGTTTTCAGAAGAAAAAAAATAATTGTTACTTTTGAAATTGAAAACTATGATGTTGAACAGTTTTAAGGCAGTTAATAAGAACATGATATATGCAGTGAGGTTAAAGTGATATTAAATTCAAAAGGATTTTAAGCTATTTTAAGTTCTGATCATCACTTACAATGGATGCTAATCCTTGATGTTCAAATGGTTTAGTTTCCTGCAGAATCATCTTTTCCCCTGAGCATATGTCCTGACTTCCGGTTTTAGAGTGACTCCTTTCTCAAGCAGAGTGCTATGGAGACACCCATGTGTATGCTAATAAGCTGTGTGTGCGTCCACAAATACACAAACACAGCAAATCAAACTACTCCCCTCCCCCCTGGCCCCTTCTCCTCCCTTCTCAAAGTTGGTAAATGAACAGTTCCTGGAGTCTGAACTGTGCTTTGTGATCTTGTACTGAACAGGAAGTTCAGGGAAGCTGATCTGAGAGGCATGGAAACAGCTGTTCAGAACCATGATGATTGTAAGTGTTTGGGCAAAAATGTAAAGCAATGCTTTGCTGGGCGTTATTCATTATTGAAAGCAAATGTTTGAGAGATTAATACTACTTTCAGGATAAGCTCCTAAAAGTGATTTTCAATGCTATATACAGCCACCTCTTTCCTTTGAAATTAAGAGAATGGTCAGTGCATGAACGCCTCTGGCAAGTAATAAAATATGCTGGCATGGTACAGATGTATGCATGTTTATTTTGCAAAGTGAATTTTCACTTTGCATTGAAATTTTCACTTAGCTTAGTGAATGTGGTAAAAACCCAGTTTGCAAAGAATATCCCAATGGATAACTGAAGTTAGCACAGCTGACTGAGTTAAGGTGGGCTGAGCCATGAATTGCATGGTGTTGCTGGTAAATGGCCGGCGTTTTTCAGTACTGCTTGCTGGACAACTAGAGCACAGAGAGAATTTAAACATAGTGCTATGTATTTATCAAGGTACATGTGTTATGTGGATGTTTAATGTTCATAAAGTAATTTTACAGTAAACAGTAAATTTGACTTATCTTACAGTAACCATTACATTGAAATGTGTGTTTAATTTGTGTTTAAAGTGCATGTTAGGGGCATCTACCAGAAATGCACTCGGCCCTAAATCCCACTTTGAGCACACAACATACAGCTTTTTTTTGACGGCATGGTCTCAGCCCTGCACAATTGTCTTTTGCTAAACTACTCAATCAGATCTCCATAACAGAAAGACTGATTATTCTGTAGTGCAAAATAAGAGCCAGAAGGGCTGTTTGAGATAACACTGGAAGTATGGTGAGGACACAGGACAACTCTGAATTTTTGAAAAGGTCAACAGGTTTTTTACACTTATTAAACCAATATAAAAATGCGTTCAAGTGTATATTTAGCAGACCAAAAGGTAGCAAATACTAATTTATTGTTATGGTTACTCTTTAACATATACTTCAACTGTTAAACAGTAACTGTATATGCAACTTTGTATACATGCAAACAATAAGTAGTGATGTTCTAAAAATGTCATCTGAAATTTCAGCCAAAACTTTTTTAGGGGTCTGTATCAGTTCCCTGATACAGGCCCCTAAAGGTATTTTTGCTTTATGAAGACATAATGACATGGAGATATGTGTGTCTGTTCTGCTTTAAAAACCCCTGTAAAAATATAATTTAATAATATATATTATAATGTTTAGAATGCTAATCTTCTTGATAATATGTAATATTCTAACTGTCATCCTTTTAAATTTTCGTAGGTGCAGGACATTTGCTTCAGCCATGATTGCCGATGGGTAGTGGTGAGCACCCTCCGTGGCACTTCCCACGTATTCCCAATAAACCCCTATGGTGGTCAGCCATGTGTCCGGACACATATGTCTCCCCGCGTGGTAAACCGCATGAGTCGATTTCAGAAGAGTGCAGGTCTGGAAGAGATTGAGCAGGAACTGACTTCAAAGCAAGGAGGACGGTGTAGTCCTGTGCCAGGCTTGTCCAGCAGTCCTTCTGGCTCTCCATTACATGGTGAGTAGTATCACTGCGGCTAGAGATTCCACATGGGTGGGCATTCACAGTGTTTGTGGTGACTGCTTACTGTATCTTGTAGTTATTTAAATTAAACCATGTTGAAATGCAGCTGGTAGTGCTTTTTTTTCACACCAGTCAGCAGGAAAAAAAACTATTTTTACTTTTACTTATGTATGCAAAATCTGTTTTTATAAACTATATACCCCATAGTTTAAGAACTCAAATTTTACAGTACAAGAGTTTTTTAATAGTGCATATATATAGACAAATATATTGAATAAAAACTGTACATTTTAACTATGCTGTATTTGTCACAGAATATAGGGTAGTTATACTGCATGGAGACATACATGTTTGCCAGTGTCCCGTTACAAAATATGTAGGATTAAGTGTTAATTGCTTGTATTTGATACAATTTGTTCATTTTAAAATGTAATTGGCAGTATCTTTGCATTAGCAATTTTTGATTTTGCCACATTGAAAAACACCTGCATATCTTAACACTATTATTGGCCTTAACTACCTCTTTATTAACAATGTTGTAAAAGGTTGAATATTCTCTATGGATCTGTTAAACTCTTGGGGCAAGAACATGCTACATGCATCTAGACAGAATGCAGAATACATGTGTATGTATTTAGTATCCAATTTTGCTTTAGTCAGTAGTTCATATAACAAATATGAAATTTAATGCTGAATGCAGTATGCCTGAAACAGACGTTGTCTGTAAAGAATTAGCACAACAGATGTGGTCATTGTACTGTGTCTGACATCACAGAGAGGCCAGGACGGAAGTACCAGAGTGCACCTTTTATCCCGTTCACTCTGGTCTTCGTCAGGGGATGTTACAGGAGATTATTGCTGCTACAGAATTCCTAAATGTTTTTGAAGTTTTAAGTAGATTTTGCATTAAATATGTACCAAACGACCTGTGACTATTTCACTTTGATTAATCTTGAGAAGAAGCAGTTTGTTTTGTTTCTGTACAATAAATCTTAACAAAAACTGTAACATAAGATCAAGCATTAATTGTGTGCACTATGGACTGGAACTCAGGAGGACATAACATTTGTAGGTTTAGGTAAAGCTTACCCATATTGGCCCCACTAAAGTTGTAGATTTCTGGCAATTATAGAAAATATGACTGTTTATGCTTTTCAGTGCTATGCACAGATAATTGAGGACAATATGATGCAGTACGATGCACCACAATCACAGTACAGTATGGTTTTTGTGTCTGATTAGTCCATATTGGGTTTAACGCTTAACTATGGCCCAGTAAGATCTTTAACTAGGGTGTTTACCTGATCATCATTTGAATTATTTTTTTTTTGCACTGGGCATCCCATTCTCCAGAAAAGTGTTTTTGTTTTTTTTTGGGGTGTAAATGCTTTATTTAACATTTTGAAATATAAATAAGGGGTTCAAAAAAGAAAACAGGAAGGGTGTTTACACCAATGGAGCAATGCATTACTGAGCAGGAATAGATAAACAGATATAGTATACAATTGATGGAGGTGCCCTCCGCACACCTTTCAGCAGTCCCGGCCAACAATCAAATAAATGGTGCTCGAAGTAACTTCACGGATGGCACCGTGCAAAACACAAGATTGAAGAAAATAGGTCACCAGCACTCCATAAGTTAAAATGAATGAGTCCTTTTAATGGACAATGATGTCACAGAAATCCAACATGAGCCGACGTTTCGGGGCCACACAGGGTCCCTTCTTCAAGGCAAGAGATGTGACCTCTCTTGCCTTGAAGAAGGGACCCTGTGTGGCCCCGAAACGTCGGCTCATGTTGGATTTCTGTGACATCATTGTCCATTAAAAGGACTCATTCATTTTAACTTATGGAGTGCTGGTGACCTATTTTCTTCAGATATAGTATACAGGCATGTGGACAAAGTATCCAGAGTGAAAAATAATTGAAAGTTTGCCAATTGATACCAAACAGATATTCTTGCCAGCACTCTATTTTCCTAAATCAGGCTGTGCTGATGTTACAGATGCAGACACTGGCTGGGTTTTTTCCCAACATGTTCTGCTTGCCCAGCACTGACCCATTTTTATAATTTACCAATGACTGAGGAGTTCTCTTGTACACTGCACACACTAATTGTGCAGCCCACACTCCTGCAGACAGAGGGCTCTTATGAGCTGTAGTTTGGTAGGTTCTACCTATGTTTGCAGGAAGACCCTTAAGGCACCCTGCAGATCCCTCCCGCCCCTTAGTGCTGCTGCGTGCTCTTATTTAAATGCTAAATATCTAAATCTCAAAAGAGGTATGATATATATTTGGTAATATGATTTAAAGATTGGGAGGGTGGTTTACATGGTAACTATCATTTTTCCTCGAGATCCGCTGGACATTAGAGAAACCGTGCATAATAGAATAAGATTTAATTGCCCAGAGTTATAATGCACATTATCCAACCCCAGTAATCTTGACTTGCAGAGATAACATTTTTACATTGAAACACTAAGGCAGAAAAATAGATATACTTTATTTTGTAAGGATTTTTGGGCCTATTCAGAACTGTAAAAAAAACAGTTTACATGTACTTTTTTTTAAATGTATTTACAACTTAACACATTACGTTGGCCAATTAAAATCAATGTATCATACTCAAAGGTAATACTTCTTGCTAGGGTTAACCAGGTTGAGGTTTTTTTTTTGTTTAAGATGTTAATTTTTTTGTTTGATCAAAAACAGATAAGTAAGAAAAAAACCCAGGTTGTGACATATGTAAATCACACAATAAAATTATAACAAAGAAATGCAGTCTCTTGTCTGTGATGACTTGTTATATACAGGGTACTGTGACATTCGTGTTGAACCATCCACATTGCACAAAACATTCATGATAATACAGTCTCCTGACTTACTGACTATCAGGGGATGAAGGTGTAAGAGGTGAGGTAGACTATGGACCCCAAATCTGATCAAACCTTTGCGGGGAGCCCCTGTTAGCGTAGGTGAGTTAGTACATGGAGAGGGCACATTTGATCATATTTTTCCATTCTGTCAATGAGAGAAGAGAGGAACTTTTCCGTGTGAGAAGGTCTTTTTGGCATAGAAATAAAATGCTCTGGGAAGGGTCAGTCACCAACCCCAGTTGACAAATTTTGGGACACCTGATATTAGGGAAACCTATAGTGCAGAGTGAATACAACAATTAACTTGTATATAATTGACATACAAGAGCAAATTAATGCATGACGGAAATTTGCCTCCTGACTACAGCCTTGAAAGCAAAGTGTAAATGTCAAAGTTGTAAATGATAGAGCCTCAAAGAGTGTATAAGATTTTGTGATACAAATATGTTAACAGATTTTATTGCTCTGTAGCATGATCTGGGATAATGTTTCCTTACTTTCTGTGACGGTAATGAAATTATCATCGAGACAGAAAGTCAAGGCAACTCTCCATAAACCTTAAAGGAAGAAACATTACCTTATCAGAAATTCAGACCGCAATAAAATCATTTTCTGTTATGTTCAAAACTACTGAAAAATAATTTGGGCTGTGTGTTAGTGTCACATACCTGATGGAGCTTGAGATGACAGGTACTCTGGGGCATGAGTGCTGGATCAAGTTCGTTAGCTGCTTCGCTGTACAACAGAATATAAACTCACAGCAAAGAGGCAGAAAAAAGAAACTTGAAGTCAGGCAGACCCGGTCTGCAACGTGCAGGAAGGTAGTGCAGCAAGAGACAAACTCGTAGTCGAGTAACAGGCCGGGTTCGGTAATGTGCAGGAAGCAGGAGAATTGTCAGACAAGCCAGGGTCAGGATACCGGATGATCAGCAGAGTCAAAAGCAAGCCGGGTTAGCAACAAGAAACAACACGACAGGAAACAGGCACAAGATACAAGGCACACAGCTGAAAAGTACTCCGCACTGGAGACATGGAGGGGGCTGAGCTTAAATAGCCCATTTGGCACCATAATACATCCTAGATGCGCGCACACGCAGTCAAATGCGTGCACACTGTAGTCTACGCGAGAGTGCACAGCCTGGCCTGACACTGTGGACCATGCCGTGTTCGTGCGCAGACACAGTCCACTTTGTACGGGTTTTCTGACAGTTAGAAAATGTATACTTAACAGTTAACCTAAGAAGAGAAGACATATTTTTCCATGGTGCAGATCAAATTTATTTTCAATAGTCAAAGATAAAACATAAGGTACTCACAAACATAGATAAAATACAGCCATAGAGTGAAAGCTGGCAGGCAGATGGACATTCACTGAGGGAATCCTGTGTGCGAGTGACGTTGACGCGTTTCTTGGGCACGCCCCCTTCGTCAGAACATAGCGTCACCCTCCTCATCTCCAGTTTTAAGGTGCATCTAGCCAATCCAGGGCCGGCCTAAAGGGCTTGTCATAATGTTGGTAATTACGCGGCCGTAGCTAGTGTCCGTCAGAGGGACCATGTAGGGGCGGGATACAGCGACGGGCCAATGGAAAACAGGGCCGGTCAGACTCCACCTGGTGGGTGTCGCCGCCACGCAACCAATCAGGGTTACTTGTCAGTCCGGAGGCTGCTGGTGACACAGTCCACTTTGTACGGGTTTTCTGACAGTTAGAAAATGTATACTTAACAGTTAACCTAAGTTTGGCTATTTGTTAATGGGTTAGTTTTAAAGCAAAACTAGTCTGTTTTTCCTATCATCAGCCCATTGGAAAACCCAGGCTCATGAACTGAAGGTGTGTGTGTACATGTACAGTACCTGGGTAACTGTTGATTGTTGAGTCATCTATGGCCCAGATCGGTAATTTTTGGCCTAATAATTTTAGTAGTGAAATTTTAGGTTTATATGTTTTGATGTATTGCATTTTGCTACATTATTTATGTAATGAGTTTGAATATAATAACTATGCCAATTTAATTCTCCTATTTGCAGCAGTCTTCTTGTGGTTTATGAAAAGTGCAATAATTGGCCCTGTGTAGGTTTACTATCGATTATTGTCCTTGCAAGACTTTTTCTTTCACT